TTCGCTTTCTGCCATTCAATTTGGTGTCGTTACCTGACCCAGTGGGTTGGTTAGCGTTTTGTACTTTTACAGCTTTGAGAGCGGCGCACATCGGTCAGGCGAGCGTGGTGGTTGCAAGGTCAACTGAGCGGTCGGCGTGGTCGCACAGTCGGTGTGATGGGTTATGCAGCCGCGCTGGCTGACAAGATCCCAAGGAATGGTGAGTGACTGCAACCTGAACAGAGCGCTGAACACAGATTCTTTCACAGCTCTGTTGAGAAACACGGGATCGGAGTAAGCTTAGACTTTTCGGCCTGCTTCGAGAATTCTGTATCGCATGGTGTCACACAGAAAGGCAATCAGCCCAATACGATTGAATTAACGCTTGCGCTTAATCACAGATGCCAGCGAAAAGGGTTAGTGATGGCACAGCCTGTAATCGTAGAAGATATACCCACGTATGATAGATCACTGTGTAAAGCTAGTAAATCCGGTTCGAATTGGCGTACAGTGACAACGCTGCGAGAAGGTGGAGAGAGGATTGAGGGAAATAATCCAAATGAACCAGTAGCATGCACTTCACGCGTGTGTGCGGGTGACCTTGACCTCAAGACCCCCGAACTGTCCACAATATTTCTAAGTTCAGGGTGTCAGCAAACATACGTGAGGACACTCCTAGCTCTCTCGGTAAGTCACGAACGATAGTCCCGAACAATAATGGCCCCAATAATTAGGCGCAGGGGCCGTCACTAAGGATAGCTTGCTTGAGCCGACGGCTATGCCCCACGCGTACGCACTGTTCCCAACCTCGAGGGAAAAATACACGCATTTAAGGGCGCAACCAGCTCAACAGCAATAACACAACTTTAGGGAGAATCGCGGGTGAGGAACGGTGTCAAAAGCTTCGAAAAGTCCGAGAATAGCACGTCCATATCGTGTCCAGTGTCAAGCGGTACGGGTTCAGCGTTCACGAACTGAAAGTAGAGTAGTCTGACACGAAAATCCTTTGCGGAATCCTTGTTGCACAAAACTGAGAAGGATAAACCTATGCACTACTCCCCTCTGAATCCCCTATCAGCTTTTCAAACACTTTGACTACTACGCTTGTCAAATTGACAAGCCGGTATTTCGAGGGTAGGGCGCTGTCACCGCTCTAAAAAATCGGATGACTGCTTTCGTCCTTCCGTTCCGAATGTAGGACACAGCTATCAAGGGTTAATGAAAACACACATGAGCGAGGACCAGCAGCTTAGTGGCCAATTCATGCGATCGCGGCGGATGAATTGCATCAGGACCGGAAGCTTTAGAGAGATTAATGCCTTGGAGTAGCTGGAAGACCTGTGCCTCTGTTATGCTAAACTCAGCTAAGCAAGTATCTTCTGGAACACTAAAACCTATTCAACCTGTGTTAAAGAGCCCATCCGCGCCTAGACCAGAGTAAATCATCCCGAGGTATACATGCCTTGTTGTAGCCATTTTGCGCAGGGTCCCCTATTCTCGAAATCACGGCGTTATAGGTTTTGTTGCCCTGCTGCGTTGTTTACCTTGGAAAATAAACTTCTTGGGACTAGATGCGGCTGAGTCTCCTAAACACTGGTCGTACCTGAAACAAGCAGTCCTGAGTTGTTGCTTGCCTTTCTTTCTAGCCTTTCAAAACTATCATAGGTACAGGCTGATGGAGTTGCTTGGTAGGTTCGTCAGCACCAAGACCGTTTCTTGGGTTGGTACTTGCCTGTGGTATTTATCCATGTAGGCTTTGCCCATAACCCTCTTCCCCATGAGTGGAATATAGGGAATGGAAACATCCAAATGGTATGACTTAAATTTATTCTAGGCTAATTGGACAGCCTCGGCCACCGAGATCTCACAGTTCAGAACTGAAGCCTTAGCTCGCACTGCCCTAAGGTCCACTAGCCAAATATTTGGAAGTGCTTCACGGCTGTCGGTTAGTGCTTTGAAAGAACACCCCGAAATAATATGCATGCGTGCTGGCTGGACCCTCGAGATGCGTCGCATGAAATGTTAGTGACTTGGTCGAGGGACTTAGCGAAAACCAGATCTAAAATAGACGGTAGTTGGTTGTCCATATACTTAGCGGGGAAGACCAGGAACTGGTGCAAATGCACTTGGAGCGTCAGCTAATGAAACTCGACACCGCAGGTTCCTGTCGCCGAATTGCAAGAACGATCTGCCCAATGGGCTTCCGGGAGGTTAAAATCCCCATAAATAAACCCTTATTCGTGGTCTGACTGCGTATAAAGTAAAATAACCCCTGGAAAAACTTCCAGACTCCTATATATCACTGCAACAGTAAACTGAGTACAGGAAGTGTACAAACCAGCCGATATGGCTTCAACCATCTGATCGGACGACTGGAACATGCAAGTCCTCAACACATCTAAGTTACAGCTTACATACAGTAAAACCCCTCTGCCCTGACGCTCAACGGAGCAACAGTTTTAAGCAATGCGTAGTCAGGTAAACATACCTCACCGTCCATGATATCCGGAGACACCCGCGGTTCAGTGAAAGCAAGTATCTTTGGACGACATTTGTCCACAAGTAAACCCGACACGTGCGCCTTGTTCCCTAGGCTACGCACGTTGCAAAGTCTTCGCTGTGCTGTGAGAACTGGAGGAAATGTACCTACAGGACATTATATACCATCAGTGGCGATATGTTGATTAAACTATTTTCAGTCTGGGGTAGGTCTCACTTGGAATAAATAAATAAACGATTATATTCTCGACGAAACGAGCCACACCAGTACAGACGTGATCAAGTGGTTGACAGAGCCAGAGAAACAGAAAAAGCTGGTGTATACCACACGACAGAAATACGTGTTGGCAAAATACATGGCTTAAAAATTACACATAATTTTGCTTAGGAATGATGAAGGGATGAAGCGCTTGATCGTTGGTGTCAAAGAGAAAGGCAGGGCCGAAGCACTGTACGAGCGCTGTGTTTCTGACACGGAAATGCTGGGTGCGTGTTAGAATGGTTCCAGGGATTTATCTCCGTGTTTCCGTAGGCGTATAAGTCCGATAGTGTTTGATAAAGATGTGCTCGCAGATATGGGGTATTGGGATCATTCTTCGTGTGAAGCAGTGCGCAGTGACGTTACTGCACCCATGCTTGTCCACCTTGCCTAGTCAGGGACAGAATTTTAGTGGAGGGTGTTAAGCGTTGGAACCTAAGTGGTGCATTGAATAAATAAATAAATAAATAATTTATTTTCAGTTTCATAGAGACACACCAACGCAGGCATGATCAAGGTTTAAAAACCGACGTGTATCACGACGATACATTGGGTTCAAGCGTGTGTAGTTGAAACAGAGTCGGGAAGAGTTGATATGTTAGTCTAGTCGACTTGCCAGTTTGTAGTTGTGGGCTGTGACTTTATTCAGTGGCGAGTCACATCCGCCACGTCGCAGTGTTGTTAAACAGACATTTGTGGCTTTTTATAGGGAGAACGCTTGCCAGGCGAAAACCCACCACGTCCTGCAACACTGCCGTAAAATATTTTGAACATTAATGTTGAACTGGCAAAGCCGCTTGACGACTGGTTTTACCTTCGGATTTTCGCAGAGTAATGGCTTCCAATTTCCTCTGCTAGTTGGACAGGTAATTTGATCGGGGTAGCCATTATTTTTGAGATCGGTGGAGGAGAGGGACCTCGTGATTATTCATCTTATTGTATGTCCAGGTGAGCAAAAGTTCAACTTCTCCGCTGTCCAGGTTTTACAGATGTATAATTTTGGGGAGTATGAGGATATGTCCATTTCTCCATACTGGACAAGGGTTATGGTGATTGCAGTTCGGTCCTTTCGGAGTTCTACCATGCTCCAGGTAAGTCCATGTGGGTTGTTGCGTCCGCCTTGGGCCAAAACTGTTCCTCAGTCCAATCCCAGGTCTCCAAGAATTCCCGGACCTCAGAGAAAAGGGAAAGTGAGGGACAGCCGATAGAAGACCGCAAGAACAGGCATGGAG